CGGTGGGAGCGCCACCACGCTCCCAAGCGGCGCACTCTCCAGTGCGCCACCGGGCTGGCCCAAGAACAGCACCGACCCTTTTATCTTAGACCAGATCACTGAAGGGCAGCTGGACTGGGCTACCCTATCCTCTCCTTTTGATATCATGTTACTGGAAGGACCCAATGGCCGAAAGGAGTTCCCCATGTACAGTGGGGAGGAAGCCTACGTTTGGGGCCGCAAGAAGTTTCCCCAGGAAGAAGCTGCCATTGACAAGTATATAAAGCTGGTTAAGGTAAGTAACGTGGACACATTGACGACACCCAGTTTATTCCCAACAAGGTTGAGCTTCTGCATTAGTGGAGGGACAGTAGGAGGCTGGTGAGTGGAGTGGGGGAGGCAGGAGGAGAGGACAGTCCTGTCTGTCCTGAACTCAGCCCAACCATGTCCCCTGTGCCCCGCTGGGCTCTCCATCTCTGCAGCCTGGGCTCAGCAGCTCCAGGTCTCACTCTGGCCTCTGGCGGGCACCTGCTGTCCTCTCTGACTAGGCTGGCTGCCAGGGGACCAGATCAGTACTCTTTAAGTCATATGAGACCAGACTGGAATGTTTAAAAAGAAAATTGAGCAGGAAATTAAAAAGCGAGAAAGGACTCATCTGAGTGCAGGATGGGAGAGATTCAGAGTACAGATTTTTTAAAATGCAGATTCAGCCAAGTTCAGCCAGGAGCAAGTGTTGTGGGCCCTCAGGTGACACAGGCTGTTGCGATGGTCATTCCATCACAGCAGTTTCAGGGATGAGTCTGTCCCCTATGGCTTGGTTTCTCCCCAGGTGGCGTCCGGTGGAGCTGCTCATGCCATCCTGCTGAAGTTCCTGCCCTTGCCCGTGGCTCAGCTCCTTGACAAGTGTGGGCTGCTGACCCGTTTCTCTACATTCCTGCATGCATCCACCCAGAGCCTGGCCGAGGTGCTGCAGCAGCTGGGGGCCTCCCCTGAGCTGCAGGCAGTGCTCAGCTACATCTTCTCCACATATGGTGGGTACCGGCCACAGGCTCTCGGTGGCTCCTGGAGAGGAGGGGCTGCCCTCCCAGCTCCCGTCTTCACGACGTCTGGCCATCTGCAATGGAGCAGTGTAAAGCCCAGGCCTTCTGGAGCTGGTGGATGAGAAGTCTGTCCACCTGCTGGACTCCCTGGCAAATGCTCCCTTCATCCACGCCCTGGATGCCTTTTCTCTCTGACCAATTTTGTCATTCTGAATCTTGGCACATGGCAGTTTGCAGGGAGGATATTCCCACTGGCCTCAAGATCTCTCAGTGCTCCGTGTTTGAATGCAAACAGCTGCTGTGGCCGCCCTGGACCCTGGGGAACATTAGGATCCTGGGATGGGCTCGGACCGTGTGTCATCTCACAGGAGCCCGTGTTCCTTTGTGAAGGGTGCTGGCGCCTGTTCTTGCCTGCTCATCGCCCTCCCTTCCTGCTGCAGGTGTGACCCCCAGCCATAGCACCTTTTCCATGCATGCATTGGTGGTGCACCACTACATGCAAGGGGCCTTTTATCCTCGAGGGGTTTCCAGCGAAATTGCCTTCCACACCATCCCTGTGATTCAGCGGGCCGGGGGTGCTGTCCTGACGAGGGCCACCGTGCAGAGTGTCTTGCTGGACTCAGCTGGAAAAGCCTGTGGTGAGAGCCCTGCGCTGTGCTTCAGGGACCCTGGGCTGGTGTGGGAGGACTCTGGGCTGGTGTGGGAAACACCTGGGGTCTCTCTGAGGGCAGAAAGTGTTGAGCAGCTGACGTCCTCATGGAGATTAGAGGCTAGAACCTGTCCAGAGCAGGGGCTGGGGCAGAGTGATTAGTGTGGACGTAAAAAGGGAGCAGGAAGGATAAAGGTTTCCACGGTCCCCAATGAACACTATTGAGTTATCTATTCAGTAGCTATGAATATTTGTCCTGTAATCCATGACCTTCTGATTTGGGGGGTTTTGGATTTTTTTTTTTACATATTTATGGGGTACAGAGTTGACTATTAGCATTTGTATACATTTTGTGATGATCAAACTCAATGTTATTAATATGTTGATTATTACAAATTATTCATTGCATCCTTTACCCAATTTCTCCCTAACCTTCTTCCCCCTTCCCCCTTTCCCACCTCTAGTAGCCATAGATCTGTTCTTTCTTTCTGAAACTCCAACATATCACTCTTTTAATGGCTGAGTAGTATTCCACTGTGTATATATACCACATTTTCCTTATCCAGTCATCCACATGATGTTCTTCTTCTTTCCTTTTTTTTTTTTTTCCCCTTTTTGTCTTTTTACGTGACCAGTAACGGGATCACAACCCTCGGTGTTGCGCCCGTACCGTGACTGGCAACAGGATCGCAACCGTCGGTGTCGCGTCCGCACCGCGCTCAACCAGTGAGCGGACCAGTCTCTATATGGGATCTGAACCCTCGGCAGGAGCACCACCACGCTCCCAAGTGCTGCACTCTACCGAGTACGCCACCGGGCCGGCCCTTTCCTTTTTTTTTTTTTAAAAGATGGCCGGTAAGGGGATCTTAAACCTTGACTTGGTGTTGTCAGCACGACGCTCTCCCAAGTGAGCCAACCGGCCATCCCTATGGAGGGATCCGAACCCGTGACCTTGGTGTGATTGGCACCACACTCTCCCGAGTGAGCCACTGGCCGGCCCAACATATGATGTTCTCCTTGAGTGTAGGGAGGGTGTCATTGTATTAGGTCGTTTTGTGTTGCTATAACAGAAATTTCTGTTATTTCTGAACCTGGGTAATTTATAAGTGCAAGAGGTTTATTTGGCTTACGATTCTGGGACAGCTGCATCTGGCACAGGCCTCAGGCTGCTTCTACTCATGGTGGAAAGTGGCAGGCAGCTGGTGGGTACAAGCAGATCACATGGCGAGAGGAGGCAAGAGAGAGAGAGGGGAGGTGCCAGGGCGTCTTTAAACAACCAGCTCTCATGGGAACTAATAGAACGAGAACTCAGTCATTACACCCCCTTCCCCAGGGAGAGCATTAATCCTTTCATGAGGGATCCACCCACATGACCAAAACTGCCACATTGGGAATCAGATTTCCACATGAGTTTTGGTGGGGAAAACACATCCAAACTCCATCATTCGTTATCTTATGTCTATAGATCTTAGCACATGGCAGAGCCTTGAATGCTTGTTCCTTGACTGACGGAATGAGCGAATTACCTGGGTCTTCCTTAGGGCAATGTGGAGGTCAGCAGTGTGCCTGCCCTCAATCTCTAAATGGCAGATGGGGGCCAGGGTTGGTGACCTGACCTATGTAGAAACTTAAAATCCCACTCTG